TGAATCAACACTTGTGTCACAGCTTTGGCGAGACACAGTTTGCCCAACAGGTGAAGGATCATCAGTTGGAGCCCTGGCACTGTGGCTAGCCAAAGTTTCAGATTCCAGGTTCTTCCTTCTATTGTTATCCAACCGTGTAGAAATATTTTGTCCTTTTCCACTTTCGGGGGCTCTATTGCGCCTTGTTTGAGAAAGACCTTCACCATATGTTTCAGTAAGCTCAGGACTTGAACGTGTCCTCGCAAAAGGATATCTTCCCTGAAGATCACTAACTACATTCTCTGGTTTAGAACTTTTTTGGCCTCTATCACTGTGAACACCCTGAATGGAACTGATATTCCGTCTGGTCTGATCAATGGGCCTTGAGTTGGTCAGATTAACATAACTCTTTTGGCTTTGAGTACGGGGCACGGTAGAAACATCACTACCTCTAGATGTGCTTCCCAGAGGATAATTACCATGTGGAGGAAGAACACTACGGGAACTATGTAACCCCTCGCCTTGAATTTCATGGCCAGAAGAATTATCATTCCTTTTAATACTTGAAGCATTCTTCAGATTTTCGGACCCATGTGGTTGTTCAGGATTTGACAATCTCAAACGCCACAAGTCATTCCTAGGTGCATCAGGACGGTGGCCACTGCCATGTCTATCCCAAGTATTCAGGAAAAACTGATTTACTTCATAATACAAGTCCTCCTTGGGACAGTCAAGTAACCTTGCCAGCTTCTTGGCACCGAAGGCAAATGCACTTCTTATCCTAAAGAAGTTGCCTGAAATAATGTATATTACATATAGATAACAGAAATTATTGGCAAAAAAACTCATGCCATCAAATGCACACCAGAGGCACTAAATATACATCAAAGAAGCACCCATGCCTATATATGAAGATAAAGCTATTCAAAATAAGGTGTACTGCATGTGGATAAAGGACATTATTGCCAACAAACTCATGACATCAAATGCACACAGCAAAAGCCACCAACCACTCCTAGCACAGGGTGTTGGTTTTCCTCCCTCCAAGAGAGTGAGTTCAAATCATGCCCTGGGCTTTGTGACCATAAATATGAGTCTAAAGCAAAAAAGGACAAAACACATCAGAGACACAAAACATACATCAAAGAACCTCACATTATTATCCATTGATCTGCACCCAAAAACACATAGTTGCATTTATATGCCTAATTTATAAATACAAAAACTACTTCTCAAAGTCCAAACAGCATGAACTCTTTATATAGCTCATCAATCTTTTTATGTACATGTTTCTTAGATTCCTAGAACAACTTCTCCATGTAAGAACTTCAATTGCCGTCTATTTATGAATTTGGTCGATA